CCCCATCCGACATTTTTGCAAAGGAAATTGTTGTTCAGAATCGTCTCCGCTACCCCCCATTTCCGGCTCCTCCCCGAGTTTTGGGACACCCTGTATATTCTCGGCGATCTCTAGAACATAGTTCAAACAACAATTACTAGTTTATATAATTTACGAAATTAACGAGAAAATACGAAAAATTGGTAAAGATATAGAAGCAATAAGTATTCGCACGGTTCTTACGACGAACAATTTATAGTAGAATTTGTAACATAAGCACATCAGTTTATTGCTTCGTGGGAATTAGAAAACATTAAATTTCCAGTAAAAAAGACTTAAAAAATGCTCTAGGAAAGGAATGAAAGAAGATCCTACCCCGAATAAAATCGACATTTATGATGGTTAATTTAATGCCTAGAAGACTTTCAGTAATTATAAAACCAAAAGGAAATCCCACAAAGTATTAATTATTTATAAATTAATGTAAATTTCGTTTTTTTTTTTAAATGAAGTTTTAAAAACTTAACACTTGTACGAATACTTATTGCTTTTGTATTTCTATCGATTTATTGTTTTTTCTTGTTGATTTCTCACTTATACAAAATACCTAATCTTTTCTTACTGTATCTATTCTAGAGATTTCCAAGATAAATTACAATTTCACATAGTTTTTTTTGAAAATTGATCGGTGTACGAATACTTTCTACACCCACTGTATATCGATCTAAATAATAATGCTTGTCCTGACGACCTACTATTGTTTACGTTTTAACGTCGTGTCACTCGCGTTGACTCTTGTCATTCGCGACCATTAATCAGTCATTCGTAATTATAAAATGAGAGATTACTTCACAGTTTCAGTTAAGACTAGAGATATGTATACATATCGATAACTGGGTGTCGCAAGATAGCATATAGAAAGTGTTTCAGTTATAGGCAGTATAAGTCCGCTGCTCCTGTGATAATTTAATATTGTAAGAGATGTTTGGTTGGTTTAGTTTGAGAAGAATGATTCATTGTGCGTTTCATGCGGCTTTATATATTTGCATTGGCCTTCCAGCTGACAACTTTCCAACTGTGTTCTTCGGCTACCGTTGATGTATTGCACGGATGGTCGTTGATACATTCGGACCGTTTGTTTAAACAGTGCCCTCGAGTCAAGACAAAGTGTAATTGCAATTGTTCTCTTATGCAACTCTTAGCCAATAGTTTGCAAGCTCCGACATAAGGTAAGCATTCGATATTGCTATGCCAATGTAAATAGCGCATGGTATTTATTACTTTGCCCCTTGGTGGCCTTCAATAGGTGCTTCTTATTAGCATAAAACTTTTTTCCTTTCCTTTCGAACATAACGTACCAGAAGAATATTACTTGAACCTTTGAACATCGTGCAATCAAATCGTTCGATTTCAAGGTTCACGCGCGTTCATCGCCGTTCCTTCGCGAAATGCACTTACCAAAAATATCACACATGTTCTAAAAATATCGTCATGTGCAAATTATAAGCGGGAATGTGCACAAAGAGTGGTGTTCCCTAATGTTGGCATTCAGGAAATATTTGGATAACTGAATTAAGATATTCCACGTCTAAATGGTGCGAATCTCTGATAGAGGCAGTGATGAAAATATATTTCTACTGTTTTTTTTAATATTTATTATCCAGTGAAAAGGAAAAGTGTGACTTCTATTAGAACTTTATAATATAACACTACGCTTTAATATCGATGGTAAAATAAATGTAGTAATATTATTATTATCAGTATACTAAGAAATGGGAGGTTGAAACAAAAGTTAATATTGAGAATACTTCAACGTCTCTCATACTTTTTATACAAACAGAAGAATACAATACGCGATTATAAGCCTTCGAAAAAGTTTGAAAATGAAAATAACTATCCCGATCTAATCTCAACTTCCTTTCAATTTGAGGTACTTGACGAGATACGTATTCCAATTTATTGATAAGAGTCGATCAAACAGTGTACGGAATAAAAAAGTTCTTAGTGTTCGTTAAAGAAATATTAAGGTTCTCAATTCAGAAACTGCTCCCACTGTTTCATCGATCAATGTCCGTGAGATATCTCTAATTGAAAACGTCTATTAAAGGAGTCTTTAAGTTACACGTTCGACAATAGAGATTTTTAAGTACCCACTCCTAAGAGGTCTTCTCGGACAGATACTTCGAAATTCCACGATGTGATAAGGCACATCGTTAAAGGCGTTCGATAGGTTCGCTTCACCTTGAATCGTCGTAAGAAATGTAATTTAAATCCGCGCAGTAGATCGCGATACAAAGTCATGCATTTTAATCACGGGCCCGATAAAAGTGTATTAAAATAAAACATCTTTCCATGTCGTGAAACAAATTTTGAAGTGATATTTAATATTTCGCTGAAATCTTGATACAAAAGTGTTGAATGAAAATCAAATGTTAAGTGTTTATACCGAAAACTTCAAAATAATAATTAAATAAGATTTCAATACAGATCATAATTCGTGTTGTAGGAAAATACCGTCACTGTTTTCACATCTTTGAGCTCAGGATTTACACGGTATCGAGCGACAACTTTTTCCGTAGACGTGTAATGTCTTCGAGCTACGAAGCAAGGTGAAACGTGGTGCGAAACATGATCACGTCGATCACTTCTATTTATAATTACGTAAATGACATGTGGCGTCAGTAGTGAGCGTGCTCCTCCAACGAATGAATGAAATTGTACTACTGGATGTGCGTCGGGCCTAATGCGATCTCGCTGCGACATACGAGTGGTGTTGTGCGAATTCTAATTGTGACAAATGCGATAAAAAAGATAAACGAATCAAGACTAAAATTAAAATTACAATAATGTAAGAAAGTAACTTTCCTTCCATCTTTTCCAATTTCGTCGAGAGAAACACCGAGCCAATAAAATTTCAAATACTCTGTATGTTTTACTCCGAATTTATCCCAGAACGTTGCGATTATTAGATGTATCGACTGTCGGCGATTTTCCTTTTACGTTTATTTTTCTAATTATGGTTAAAGCCTACCTTTAGTGCTGGAGATTTGCTCCTCGACGCTCTCGCCTCGCCACGGATCCTCCTCGACTTGGATGATCCAACGAATTTTTCTCGGCTGCATCTGAAAATTAATCGACGTGTTACACCCGTCACGTTTCAATTACAAAAAGACGAAATTCGGTCGTAAGCGATTCATTCCGTGCATAGCATCGTACTGCACGAGATTAATGGTTCACGCCAGATTTAATGTCAATGTATTGATATCAGTGGACGATTATTTCTTATGAGTAGGATGTTTACTGATAATGCGAGCTGAAATGCGTTTCCCCGACCGTAATCATAACTGCGTAGTCGTATAATTTCGGCTTTTTCTTCTTTACATGTATTTTGACCTTTGTAAACTATTTTTCTATGTATCCACAAAAAAATTAATGAACCACACTTAGATAATCTATATGAGAAGAAATAGTGATAGAAATTATTCACATCGTTACTTACAGTCTTCTTTAAATTGTATTATACCTTTAATTTATTCGACTTTAATATCACGTATTTAAATTTAAAATACAAGAATTTAATTCTACTCTGGATAGGATCTACCAAAAATTTTCCTTTAGTAAGGAAGTTCGTGGGAAGTCTGAGAAACACTGATATAAGCGACTCTTCGATAAATATTTATAATCACCGTATCACCACTACTATGCATAAAATCATTCGATGTACGAGAACGGCCGCTTACCTCACCAATTCCAGTCTCAGCTTATTTCATCGCATTCTTTTATTGTGATAATTAATAGATGCTTTAGACGCATTAATTACCAATACATGTTAAACAGCTCTGATTTCAATGTCAACTTTCCCAATTGATAATGATTAAATTTTTAGTAATAAAAGTGCAGATTGACTAGAAACATTTTGAACAACACTCTGGATACACTAATTTTTTTAATAATGCCTGTTAAATAATTCCACGGTAAACTGGCCGATTTATCAAATTTATTAGCGAATCGATAATGTCACAGTCGTTAGTAGTATTGTTACAAGCACGAGTAATAATTGCATAGTGAATCTGTATGTAAATTATCTTTACGCTCGGATAAGTCTGTCGCCGTGCGACCAACGTCAGAGCAATTACCTCAAATCCGGCTCGTGTACCATTAGAAAAACATTTGTGAACCCGCTGTGTTCATAGAACCGGCACTGTTGTACGCTGTTGCGGCCAATATTCGTTCCACACTGACAATGATTTTCTCTGTCAACGGAAGTGACACCGTGCACGGTGACTATCTGGCCGTTGGTTGCATCGACCATGCGTGCCTGGACGTCGACATCGCTAAGAAGAATTGTCAGAACTTCTACACCCACGGACCTGTCGCTTACATATGCGAACAATCAGTGCTCTCGTCGACGAGATATTCCAGTGCAAGTACGATCCGCTCGTAAATTCTCCTCCGTTATTAATTGAAGTACACCATTCATCGTATTGAATCGCCTCGACGCGCATACCGGTGTTACGGTTTAAAGTTGATTGGATTAAAGGTCCCCGAACGGGGACTTTAGAATTTTATTTTTTTAACAACAAAACACGCCTGCCAGCGTAGTTTATATGGACAACTGGAAATAGCGACCATTTGTTCTTTCATTTAAAATAAATAAATCGAATGCGTTCCATACCATTCATATTTTATTAAAAGAGAAAGTTACGAAGACATGTTTGGGAAACCCTTTACAATGCTGAATGCATTCGTACATTGTATTATATTATCTTTTTCTTTCTTACGCCCAGTTTATTAATTACTAACCTTCTCTTAAACTATTTAAACTTTTAAACTATTACAGTTTCTCTTGCGGGTTCCCGGTATTTTTTCTCGAATGAATAGCCATCTAGCGGTGAACATACCGAACTAGTTGCGGAGTATAATCAGCACTTTTATCGGGAAAACGCCCAAGTTTGTCGTCGAATAGTTCTTACCTTGCGCGGCTAGATGGCGCTAATTGCTGTGTTTTTTTACCGACATGGTAATATACCGACAGGTTGATAAAAAAGACATTACAACTAACACTAAACCTACTCTGATAAATAGCTTGGCATGTTCACCGCTAGATGGCAAAACTAATTTCCTGCGGGAAACTTGAATTTCTTTTTATTTAATTAAATTAAAATTCATTAGAAGCATTTGTAGGTGCTACTGAGTATTGTAGATTCTAATGAGTACCAGGGACTTTATTTCATACTATCTACATAGTATAAAATAAAGTCCTTGATACATTTTCAAATTTTAAATTGAATAAATCGTATACTTTGTCGACAGAACACTATGTTGACAGAGCGTGCGCTAAAAATCCATGATCACCCACGAGGCCACGAGGTAGACAAACATAAAACCTAACCTTAACAAATACAAGTATTTGATAAAATATAAATAAAATATAATAAAAATGTATTTAATGTATTATTTGAACGAAAACGGAGATAGGGTGTATACTCTAAAGGTAATAAATAAGAAGTATACTTCAGTATGACATTCTTATTAGCACACGAAGTTTATTACATTTCATATAAACACATGGATATGTTGATTCATTACTTTTATTTATATGTGATTTATCATTTTCCAGAAAGTAGATCCAAATGGAAAACCCACATTGTCAGCACATCCAGGTAAATGATACATTATAATTTACTTTCTAAGTGTTAACATTTATTTCATCTTACCATTACGGTTTTAGCTCGATTCTCCCCTGAAGATAAATATTCAAGGGAAAGAATAACATTAAAAAGGAGATTTGGTCTATTACTTACACAACAACCACTACCAATTTATTGATTTGTGTTTGTATTCATTTATTACTTGTAATTAATTGTATCTGTATTATATACGAATGAAATTAAACTTTATAAAATGAGACATACATATGTGTACATATTTTCTAGATCCCAGCATTATATGTATGTATAAGTCATTGAACTTCTGACGCCTACAACTTCCCTTTCTGATAAACTAGATTGTAACTTTTTCCACATTTATAATTGGTTATATTCGCATCATTACTCAACCATACTTAACCATAGATTATAATATAAATATAATAATATATCATTGTTAACATTGTATATGTAATAAAGTAATTATTCATTTTATTTCATACAAATATTCTTTTATTCAGAATTCGGTTTATCCTTAACATGTACATATAAAAAATAAAAATTATATTTTAATTTATTATACAATATGTGATGACTTCAAGTAGGATACAATTTTATTAGAAAAACGTACTAACAGGATTACATATAACCAACTTCAGTATTTTAATCTTAACATTACGTTAAAGATAATTCAGAATTTTTTGAACAACTACTTATGCTATTGATAAAATAAAACTTTTTGAGTTGGTACATGCAGTACTATTGGAAACTAAAATTTTTGTACCAACATTTAATAACACTTGTACATTTTAATATATGCCTACACTGATTTTAAATGATATTTAGAATGTCTTTTAGCTTAAATATATTGTGTTTTAACTTAAGATAGTAAATAACAATATACGTATGTTACATAATATATTTATGTACATATATTTGTACATATACAGTACGTATGTGTATATATGCACTAGCTATCTTCATCTTTTAAAATTAGCATTTAATATTTTAAGTTCAAAATCATTTTAAAAACATTCCAGCTATAAATAATTAAATGAATATGTCACTTGCTATTTATTTATATTGTTAATTATATATCCGTTAATCAATAAATAATGTGGAAATAAACAGTTCTTTGTATTATTCTAAAATACTTTTAATATTATTTAAAAATATCATTTTACTTTATTAAAAATGCCAAACATTCACATTTTTCTAATATAGAAATATTGAGTATTATAGTCATCTTATTTACATGAATGATGAAACATTTCAATTAATTGAAAAATAATATACTAGTTAACATGGCAACATAATGGTATTTTATCCAATATTCATATTTAAAATAATGAAGACTAAGAAATAAATGTAATATAGATAACATTTATCTTGTTCTTTTTACATGTGCTTACATTTTACACAAATAATCCATACAGGATACATCTTTATCCATGAGATAGATGTTAATTGTTTCTCATAGTATTTGCATGTAAACTGTGTACTTTTAAGCTGTTATTTTATATTATGAGTATATTGTTGACAAATATTGTACAAATTTTACAGAATTACATCCAGCAAGGGAAATTTATTATTTGATCACTTTACTACTAAGATGACAAATCACTCTATCAGAGCCTCAGAATCAACTGTAATTGTTAGAAATTATTTCGTGAACTTCGCACAGAGTATATTATATAAAAATTAAATGTTTTGAGTATAGAAAACAATTTGAAGTATGTATGCTATTATATGTACATAATGTAAAAATTATAAGTACATAGTTTGAAATCGAAAAAAAACAATTTTTAAAATATAACTTCCAATTAATCTGCACTGAAAAATGTTGATTAGATTTCACATGCGATCTGTATCAATAAATGAATATTGTTTGAGAACTTTGTTAGAATATAAATCACATTATTTCACAGGACAAAGCATTATTATGTTGTAACACTATTTTTTCAACTAGGTATTTTAATTGTAATTGTAGAAGTCTCTAAATTTTACTTACTGCTCACATATTGTCATATATTTAATTTGCTTCTAATGGCAAAACTTAAATTAATATTAACTATTACTGGCAAAAATAATGACAGAAATTGAAATTTGACTTTTGAACAAATGTACAAACACAACTCCAAGCGATATGTGTAGATTCTAATTGTCTAAAATTCAAATTTCAATTAAAGAATACAAAAACATGAACAAACCAGAATAGCAATAATTGGAAAATGAATACTAAATGATAATATTAGTCAGTATCATGGAAATGTATCAAACAATATGGATTAGATCTTAATCACGATGTGTACAATTTACATTTCATAATGCCATGAAGGTACTATACACTTTTAATATCATTGTGTTTGCAATTAATTTGCTTCTGAAGGTGCTGCGGGAAGAACATGAACTTGCTGCGCTTTACTAGCATTATAAACTTGTCCAGGACTGAACGGTTCTAATCTTGGATTAGATCCTATTTCATTTTTACGAATGTCTTAAAAAAAAATTAACAAATGTTATTCATACTAATAGAAACATATAGAAACACAAGACATGTATCTTTTGTCTTTTAAAAAGAAACCTTTTTTTAGTAAAGAACAAAATACATATGTAAATCTAACATTTCACGTTTACAAATGTCAACATACTTACCACTCTTTGATTCTGATGCTGGAATATATCGGGACAATCTAACAACAGGGAGGGGTAAATAACCACTGGTTAACGGCATCACGTCCAATGTGACACTTTGCTTTTCTACGACTTCCAACGATACAAGCCCAGCAGTACGGCCACATACAGCCCACATGGCTTGATCAGCGAGAACCTCATACATTAACTGAGGTGGAGGATTTGGATTAGGACTGGGTAACAGACGTGTTACTGTGAGATAGAGATGGCACATGCTACCAGCACGACAAAATTCGCCTCCATTCCCAGCGGGCTCAACTTTCGACGACACTGTAAACAAAGTCTGGAAAATGATGTTATAAATAGAAACTTGTTTTTTAAAAATATTTTTACGTAAAGTAAACTCCATAAATACATTTATAAAATCATTTTCGTTTTATATTTGATAACAAATTGTTAATAAAGTTTAATACATAAACTACATAAATTTCATAAACTATTAAAATACATTTCACTAATTTATAACGTATTAAATAGAAAAGGCAATAAAGAAATAATTTATACCCTTACCACATAATCTGTGATATCAAAATTGCATCTATAAACACTGGATGCCTTTTCCATTCTTTGCAAATTATGTATGTGCAAAGGATCATCATTGGTATGCGAATCACTTGGTTCTTCAGTATCTTTAACTGGGATGTATTTTACGCGAAAATCAGTCTTTATGGGCATCATAGATTTCTCGTCCTTACCAATTTCAAGTTCCCACATGAACGACACGTTTATGCCGTTACCTATTACTAATCTCTGACCCGCAATTGGATTTAGACTTTTGAAGTTAACATCTATTGACGTTACTGTTGTTAATTCTGGTTCAGTTAATTGCAAAAGTTGACTCGTCAATCCTGTTACAACTATTTGAAGAAATTTTCTTCGTTTTGCTGTGTGAAGTTTCATATTTGACATAAGTGGTGGACCAAAATGCAAATGTATGCTTTCTTCAGAACCCCATGGACATTGTATATTCAACTGAAAACATGACAGTTAATAGCTTCATAAAATAGCTGAACAAGATAAACAATTGCTTCAATTGATTTAATTAAACATTATAATAATATATATTCTTATAAAATATATGAAAAAGAACAAATACCTTATGTTCCATTGATAAAGCATCTTTCTTTGGTGGTAGCTCAGCTAAAACTCTTAACTGTAACGACATTGTTTGAAACGGTTCACAGTCTGGCAGTGGTATTTCTAGTTCTTTAGACATTACTTCCTGTGAATTGTCAAGTTGTACTACTAATCCTCTAGACGTACGTAATTTGAGTTTCATTTCCTTCGTTATTTTAATACTCCCGCTCGTAATAACTAATTCTATGTCTTGGATAAGGCCTGCCAATAAGTCTCTACCGCATTTCAAAGAAATTGTTGGTTGTGTCTTAGCTACTTCGTAACATAGCCGAGGATTTAAAATAGGAGACAAAAATTCCAATTTTTCTTCGACAACTAATGACAGTTGGCCAACTTTATAAAAACCAGGTTGGTCCACGCGTCTAACCAATGTAAACGTATTTACACCTGGTCTCACTATAAATTCGCCACACGATAACGCTTTACTAAAATCACCTTTTGCATTTACAGATGGTTTCCTGTGTTTTGTACTATCAGAACGTCTTACAACAGGTTTGGTATTTCTGTGCACGACACTAGCAGATCCAAGACTTTTGTCTTCCTTATAATCTAAATACGAATATACTTGTAACTGAAGTAGAGTTGGATCAAATGGCTTCATATCTTCCAGAGTACATTTTGATAATCTGAAAATAATAATCTATCAACTGACAAGGTATATTAAATTTAAAGCATGGAAACAGGATTACTTTACACTTATTACGTACAATGAAATTGAAGGTTCAGCTGGTAACTTTGCGCCTTTTTTTTTATTAGGTACTTGAGGCTTTTGAATTTCCTCAACAGATATAGATGCCTTAGTACATTTCACTTCTCTCGGAAATAAACATTGTATACTGATTTCAATATTGACCAAGCAATCCTGCACTACTTTGTCCATTACTTTAAGTTCCATACTGAGTATTATAAAAGCACATCCAAGTTCTATGAGTAGTGGTTGAGGCGACGAGATCATTTTCATATATCCAAACATTTCTTCGTAATATGTATTACGGACAGTAATGTGCAATACATTCAAACAGGCAATTGCTGCGCAAACTTTTGTGTACTTCTCAATGTCATCCATTCTTTTATAACACTGTGCCAATTCTAATTGAGTTTGTGCTGCTAAATGGTTCCAACCTTCGTCAGTGTAAGTTTTTAGAGCGTCTGATAAAAATGCTACAGCTTTCTGATTTTCTCCAAGCTCACTATAAAATTGTGCTAGTTCTTTTCCTATTAACCTAGCCGATCGAATTCGGCCTACATGTTTGTAAGTACCCATAGCTAATTCTGCATGTTCAAGATATTGTTTTTTGAATGCTTCCTTTGATGAGAGTGCTTCTTTTAGTTTATCAGTGGGCGTCAATTTTCCCTCTATCTGTGGTTCAGAATCCCCCATACCAGCTATTAGATAAACAACTGTGTGTAATTGCTCGCTAGAGGGTTCATTTCCAGGCATTAGACCGCATAATTTTCCTAAATCTCCTAACTAAAATTGTATTACAATTATACGCAATATATAAAATTATACTTACTTATAGGATTAAGGCAAATCTTTAATTAACGTTATTTTTAGCAACTTACTTTATCTCGGGCAAGTGCCCAAAGACTGGCTGTATGTAGAGAGCAAAGATCTAGTTGTTGATTATTATCAATATTATAACATGATAACTGACAAGCTTGCAATACCTCCAGTGCACAAAGAAAAGACCAACATTCAATTGATCCCTCGGGTCGTTGAACTTCTAAGATACGTAATTCGCTTAACGTATTATGAACAAATGACAAACATCTTTGCGCAACCTAGGTCATAATTCAATTGCATGTTTATATTCAAAATGAAATTATGCATAGTTAATTCTCTACGTGAATAATAAAATCATTGATAATTTTAATTTATATATACCTCCCATGGTTTGTTAAGCGCTAATAACATGGCACACTGTCTACTGAATAAATAACTTCTAAGATCTAATAACGATGCTTTACATTCAGCGAGAAGATGTCTTAAATGATGATTTGTACCATTACTTAAAGTAACACCTCCCCAATTATTCAATGGAGTTTGAAACAAATTTAACCAGATTGGAGTATCTACAAAAATTTAATTTATTCGTTAATTTCACAGTTGTAAGGAAAGGAACAGATAATTAAAGAAAAGAAAATTGGCATACCTCCCATATTAGAATTAAGCACGAACTGTGTAAAGAGAGCATCTAACTCATCATACTGCACTAATGCTTCATCATACAAACCCAACATTTGCAACACGAATGCAAGTTCCTCCTGAAAATGCGAACTCCATTTAAAAACTGTATATTTTTAATATTTCGTATACAAATATAGTTTAAATTAATTAGACTATTTTACCTGCAATAAAAAGTAGTGACAAAAATTCCAATTTGGGTGATTCCGACTTTCTCTTTGTTCTCTAATGATATCCTCAAATCGAGATAGTGTTTTGTCATATGCAACAAGCATTAAGTAACGTATGCGAGCAACTAAACCTCTCCATGATTCAGCTGAGCGCATCTCTGATTTTACTGAATTTATTACAGAAAAACATCTGTATGACATATAATATACAATGAAAAAAAGAAATTATATAAAAATATGTATCAAACATTCGTTAATTAATGATTACATCACCTGTCACCATTTTTAGAAGCAAAATCGCTACGAATTTTGTCTAGAACAGTTGTTCTAGGTAATAATTTATTAGTTTTCTTTATATCATAAGTTTCTACTATAACAATCATCCAGTCTTGGATTTGGTATTGCATTAACATTTTCAACCAGTTATCTATATCATCTCTAACACTGGCTTTATACGTATCAACATCCTAGAATCAGTATATATGATAAGAAAAATATAAAATCTTATCTCTATCGAAATGTCACTGATAATTAAATGTTTACATTTATTATCATTATTTCCTCAAGTAATATCCAATACCTTCTCAAAATAGATATATTTCAAAAATCTAAATATAATATATTTAATGTAAAATATTAAAAATTATAATTTTAACGTACTTACAGAACATTCACTCCAATAAATGTGAAATATTGGTTGTTTTATCAAATGCTGATCCTTTTCAGTTGGAAGAATATCCTTGGTAAATGGCACAAAAGTTGCCCCAAGTTTGACTTGTTTAATTGGTCTACTGAACGACCTACGCCATTCTGATGTCTCCGCAGGTATGGCTTGCAGTAAACCATTTTCCATTGTAGAAAATAGTTTTTCATCTCCAGCATCTATTTTAAAGTAATCAATATATCATGTTAAAAGAAACTAGATACAAACTATTTTTGTCCTTGAATGGTTAATTTGTATCAATAAGTATATGTCATTTTATATATTATTTTTAAATAATTTATATACAAAAAACAAAAGTGTAAATACAATTAAGTAAACATTATAGAACATATAATACAATCAATGAAGTTTGAACAGAAATAAAAGTGTCCGAAAATAGGAAAAAGAATACTTTGGATAATAGTAATTTTAACCTATTTGAAATAACATATGTTTGCCAGGAATTAATCCTGATCATTAATGAAATCTTAATTCTGAAAGAATTTATTATTACATACTATAAAATTTCAAACAAATAAAACCATATACTGAATAATTTCAATTCGATTATGAAGAAAAGAGAAACGTCATGAAAATTGACAGTTGAGGGCGTTAATAATAATACTTGGCAATAATGTCATCACTTAGAAGAGGTTAAATAAATTAAGACTGTGATTAATGAACTTACATGTGACAATTGGCTTAGTATCCATAAAGATGTTGGTCTTGCGTTCACCACCCAAAGACAACCCCCCATTGCAATTCATTTCTAAAAATTGGCAGTTGCTTCGCGAACTTGCTTTCAATCATTACAACTTTACGTCACTTTTGCCAGTTAATACAAAAACTTACTTCTTCGTTGATTTTAAAAGAAGTGCCTACTAATTCAAAATTCTCTCTGAATTAAATCGAGGACGGAACTTACATTTGTCACAAGTTGTTAAAAAGTCAATATTAGCCTAACAGACCCAACATTTTATTTCCATCGTACGGATAAGTTCCATTGAGGTTGGAATTGGAATCACAGTATAATATCGATTCTCACAAAAATCTCGATATCTCGTATCATCCCGTCAGTCGTATGTATATTGTTTGTTGCAATATTCTGTTCGCTAAATAAAATGTTGTTACGGCCCTATCTTCACTCGATTTATACAATTTTCAAATAGAAGAATACAATTGATTAAAACAGTATTAATTTATTTGCAACGTGAACATAAAAAAATAAATACTGTGTAATATATATTGAAATATGCCATATTCTGTTATATGAGGTATATGAAGAATACTATTATGTTCGAAAAGTTTGTTTAATTCTATAAATATTCGATTCGTAAACCAATATATACATCGAATATTTCTTAACCATTAAACCTTTGTGTAATAACGCATTATATTTTATCTCTTAACGTTGCAGATTTCATTTAAAGATTTTCTGAACGTTTATATAAAAAGTACAAAAAGAAATGTATCAAAGAAAAGTGATCAACAAAATTCCAGGCGAGCTGCCACCTCCTCCTAAACAGGAAAATCAAGGATTTATAGAAGATTTAGGAAAGAAACAAAAATTTGAATTAGAAGAACTGTTACAAAGGCAAAATAAGATTCTTGCTAATAAGTAGGTAAGGCCTAAGATACATATATTATCAGACAAATTGTTGTTAATGAATATTCCTTAATTTTGTTCTAGATCATTTTTATCAAAACTTCCAGACAAGGGTGAAAAGATAAAAAATTTTAGGGATAAAATACTGAAAGAACTAGAGCACAAAAATGAGATTGAAAATGCAGCTAATCTTTTATCGAGACTAAATCTAGCATCTGAGGGTAAAGTTGCTATGAATGAATTAGAATGGACAGGGAAATATAGTGAAAAAAAAAATGCAGTAAAAGTTGTTGAACTTGACAGCGATGATGAAGAAGATCCTTTAAAAATATTGGCACAAGTTAGTTTCGTATTACTGCTTTTTACATTATTTTATTTATTTTGTTTTTATCAATGTATTTGTTGTTATTAGCCTACAGGCTCTGGAGTTCATAAGAAGAAAATTATACATTTACCACCAGAGGAGAGTTTAATTAAATCAGAAGATTTAGCAGAAATAGAATCTTTTAAAGCTGCATCTTCAGAAGTAGAACATGTACAATATATAGTCAACAAAGTAGAAAAACCTCCAGAGGAAAAAAATCGGAAAAAGGAACTATTTAAACCATATAAAACAACCAAATCTAATGTGCATGATCCAGAAAAAGAAAAACAAAGAAAGCAAAATAAACACTGGGAAGTTACAGCAGCCACACCTCCACCCATAGTTCACAGTGCAGCAAAAATTATAAACTTAAATGAATCATTAAAATTACAAATGGAACATGCTGCAAAACTTCAAGTAATTAGCTTGTGTAATTTTGTATTTTATCTATGTTGATATGGAAGATTATTTAATAATTGTAACATTATTTATTAGGAAATTCAAACGAAACATGCAGCAGAAAAATTAGCTGAACAACTTGGTTTACATGGCATTGGCCCTCTGCCTAAGAGTGTAGGTAGCTATCATTTACGAGATGAGAAAAACTGTAGTTCATCTTCCACTTCCGAAGATGAAGAAGAAAACGAAGTACACGACGAAGAGGATAATGATAAAAGAGGGACGGTCGTTTTTACAATAGATAGTGTAGAAAACTAGTTTGATCTATTTTGTAATACATATATGTACGAATATTGTGTAAATATATTTATAGATTGTTTAAAAAAAAAACTTTAATAATAATACCCCTTATTGAAAGATACATTAAAGGTGATCGCGGCTCTTTTACTTCAGGAATACACAAGGTGAAATATTAACTGAATCTAAAATGTTTATGGAACTTTATTATTTTTACAATTTTTATATTAATTGTATCCAAAGTTATTAATAATAGCTGTGTATGGTGCTATGGCTTTGGAAACAGTCTGTCCAGCTTGTTTAGTAAGTTTCTGAAAAAAATATAATGTATAAATACTATAATGTAAGCAATATATTATTTCAACTTCTTTTCTTAAATTTACCTTGAGTTTATCCCTCTTTTGAACCTCAAGAATTGATCTGACACGCCTCTTGTTTTCTAATGTGCGTACCACTGCTTTGTATTTCCATCCAACTTCATGGGACAGTCTACCTACATGACAGTACTAAAAAGACAACAATATTAATACAGCGTAGTTTTAAATATATATATAATATATTTTCTTTGATATTTACTCAGCAGAATGTGACATCACAAGATAATGCAAATAATGCTCAGGCGCAAATTACCATACCATCATTGTAGAAAACATATGTAATAACTATTATTAGAAATATATTACTTCTTACCTTCCTGCCAGGTTTCAGACACATGACGCGCATAGCACCTGGTACAACTACACGTTTCCTGCGATCATATGGTGGTGGACATCCTTCATAAACCTTCAACCTCCTGAGTGCATCCTTTCCTCTTTGTGTTTTATGCGGAATCATTCCTATAAATTAAACTTCTTTTTCATTTCTTTATGATTCTACAACACATCTTTAAAAGTTTAATTTAGAGGCAATCTCATATAAAATATTTGTTTCATATGATTATCAAATAATGTAGGTAAGATATAAATAATCATTGATTAATATAAATTATAGAATATTAAAAATAGTGAATGTTTAAACATACCACGAACTGTCTTCCAAAGTATTTTGCTAGGGGCCCGGAAATGGAAAGGTCCACGAGCTGGATTTACATTACATCTTTTGCGTAAAAATGACATAAACTTCAACTTGTTCCTATAATAAATATTTCACATAAAATGAACTGCAATATTTACAGACTGAAAATATACTTAAAAAAATAATTTAATATTAAAATTAATTACGAAAATCACTTTTCACAAACCTGAAGAAGTTACCGGAGATATTAAGTTGTTCGCTGCGGACAACAATTACTTTATTGCCCTGCAGAATCGTTTTGGCGATAATCGCGGCCAAACGGCCGAGTAAATGGCCACGGCCATCGATTAATATTGGCTAAAACATACAATTACAAATATTAAAATGTATATTTCTATCTGTTTATCCACAGATTATATGAAGCAAAATTCTTAAAAATTCTTCTAGTTATAAAAGATTTCAATCATGCAGATGTATGCACCTAAAACACTGTCAATAACCTATAGCACGTGTCAAATGTTAATTCATTTTTGAAAAGTTAAGCAATTTTTAAATATATTGCATGATGCGTATTACTGTAATATCGAAAAAAAATCAAACATATCATTTTTATTATATTTGCTGCAAAAAATAAAATACAGTTACAGGAAGACACGTGTATACGACATCCAAACTACACAATAATTCCATAATTTTTTCAAGAAATGCATATTAAATAAACATACAGAATATTTATTCAATTTTCACGTACACTCTATTGAATAAAACGAGTGTATTTTATAGGTATGAATGATCGTATGCAGTTTAAAATAATAAAAACTTGAAATACATACCTTATTAGTGAAGCCAGTCATTTTGTCACCTTACCGGAAAAGGATCCATGAACGTAGAGAAATGCGCGACCTCTTACCGGAAGATATCGTGATACATTAATCAGTGTAACCAACGTTATAAATTCTTTTTCTAAATGAAACTATGATTATTATTTGTTATTACATTATTCATATAAAATCGTAGTCTTCCTATATGTGAATTTTTAATACATTTCATTTTATAAGGATGTTAATTTTTATACATAAGAATATTTAAAAAATGTATTCTGTAAACATAGTTACGGAGTAACACGCATGTGAAATAATTTATAATTTTTTATAGAAACAAGCATAGTATAATCTCATGTAAAATTATTGTATTAATAGTATTAAATATGACTATTTAATTTTATATCTTACAAAATGGATGAATCCAGAAAGGCCACCGCTCACTAAGCCGCTTTATTAGTGGCGTCATCGGTGGGAAAATGCCCAAGTTTGTAGTGAAAATAATTCCCACTGTTTTTGTAAGATCGCGCCACAGATATATTTTAATCAATTATTCTTTATTTTTTCATAAATGCATAATTAATATGATTCTTTGCTTTATAACACTACAGTATATTATTCGGTATATTGTTTAAACATTTATTTTAATAATTATTTAATGCAGCAATAACTACCGGCACCTTTAGCTAGTGATACCATCTGGGAGTACCAGTGGGAATTACCTTCACTAAAAACTTGGGCGTTCTCCCACCGATGACGCCACTGGTATTAAAACCCGCTCATAAAGCGGCTTAGTAAGCGGTGGCCTTTCACACACTCAATAACTCAAAAGAAAAACAACGCTATCTAGAGTGAGAATGAAACATTTTCAATTCAATTTCTCACGAAATTAACTTCAACTGATCTTTCATTTTGTAAGTATTGAATATAAATGCGTGTACGATTACTTAAAAAATTGTTATAGGTTTGAAAATAAATAACAAGTGTATATGAAACAATTTAATAGTTCTTTATTTTATTGGTGACGGTGGGTTTCGATAAACTAGGTATGCAACAGAGCACATTAGTGTGACAACTAAAGTTTCAAATTTTACACAAATCGAAACTATCGCTGCCGTATTAATTAAGTTTTGTTATTTCATAATATTTATATACACAAAATTATATTAATTCTGAAGATTAAGATATAAACATGTTAATTGTAATATAATTAATTAAATGATCGAAGTTAATATTGGTATTAAATTAATATAATCAGAAATTCTATTTTTTGAGTCCGCATTGATATGACTCTTTTTTTATTCGAGGCATTATTAAAAAAATATTCATTATACTTCTAATCATTAATATTTATACCATTGTATATTTAATATTCTTAAGCTAATATCACAATGACTCGAGACAGTCAAGACTTCCAATATTTGTGCACATATTCTTATGTTATGTTAGTTCAACAGCTGCATAACTGTTTTGGAAAATTTGTATCCTATTAGATAAATGGATTAATTTTTATACTATATAAATTTGAAAAATGTCTATTTTTTTCTATTTGTTCTACGTATGAAAAATTGCTAAAATCGCACGAGCATTGGTTCTTAATCCTCTAATGGACATACAAATTACATGTAAAAAGTTACTACTTCATACTACAGATCGTGTTAAACACGCGTTCTTTACATATTATTAAAACAAAAATTGCAATCATGTTAAATTACATTTGTATTTACAAGTAACATAATATTTTAAGTATAGCCTTAACAAATTTAAAACAGTGCCATTAACACGAAATTAATTTAATTAGTTTTATTGAAGGAAATACGTTTATTTACTTGAGATTATTTCAAGAAACAAAAATAAAGATGTGTGCTACTTGTATGTTCCTTAAATAAATAATCGTATTCACAAAGGCACTGCCCCCTTTAATAGAATTTACAAAATATGGAAGATAAGTACAGCTTTCTTTTCAATGTACAAACACTTGATGCAATCAACGAATGTTAAAATGTACACACGCGATAAAAAGTTCAGTGCTTTATGACCCCAAATTAATTACATTTCTATTAAGATATATGGTATTTCATCTTATTAGAAAAATGTATAAATCTACAAATGCTGAATTCATCGAATAAACGTCATTGTTATTAAAAAGAGTACTTATGATCAAAACAAATAATTCATTGTAATTTCATCAAATGGAAATGTAAACACTCATACAGATCATTTTTATTAACTGCATGTACGAATAGGTATGGTTTTATTTAAAGTTCCTAAGATCTTAGCATGATAGTAGCTTTTCACTTGTCAATTGACTTTGTTTAAACAAGCAGAACGTTGAAGTTTTAGGCTAATCTTAGTTATATTCCCTGAACAAGATGGAGATTATCCGTGTCATTCCAGGTACAATAACATATTTTCAACAGTACAATACAAATACTATTATGTACTACTTAGTTTTTCATATAGAAATTCAGAATTTGTAATGAATCATTATCATCTGTATTATTAAACAGTATATATTGATAAAAGTTTGGAATACTTTGTAAAAATAATTCGTTGGAACACTTAATAATTCAGATGTTATTGCATTTTAAATGTTGGGTATTATGTATACGTTGAAATGACAAGTATACTTATGCAAATAACCAATAATGTCGCTGAATTTAAGTAAACATACAGATATATAACAATAAAACAAAAAAGTATTATTATAAAATGGTGTTTCATTGTTTCGCTAGTGTTACTAAGTCTGTCTCGTGTACTGTTAATTTAATGATGTATTCGAACCTTGAAAAAAAAAATTATAAATGTGCTTCATAATAATGGAAGTACTTTGTAGCAGTGTTTATCATGAATTGCTATGACAATCTCAAGTGTTTATACGTACAGTCTATCTAGGATCATATTCTAAAATTTTCAGGCAATAATATCCTGGCATACACAAATTTAGTGTAATGCTACAGTATGGATACAGTCGCATGTTTCAAAGAACAAATATTATCAAATAACATTTAAAGTTTTTACAGTATTCTTAAACATTTGTAAGAATCATTTTAAGGGGTAATAATTTACATTTTTATTACTAGCATGAAAGATGCTGTTAGGGTGACTGAGTCTCGAGAAAAGCGCGTGCCCGTGCGGTCAGTTTACGTACACGTCCTCTACTACTTATACTAATGCCTGCCATGT